TTCTACTCCGCGCAGAGTAGTATGTATCCTCCCCAATATAACTCTAGCGTAATATACCCCCAAAACACAGTTTTTTAGGGTTTAGAGTTTGGGGTTTAGGGTTTTAGGGTTTAGGGTTTATGGTTTAGAGTTTGGGGTTTACTTTGTAACTTGGGGCCTCTAGATTCAAGTTTCTTGTGCAGGGATCCTGCAATGTGCTGTTTATCAGTTACTTATTGGCTGTAAACTCAACTTTTCAACTTTTGGGGCTCTTATAAGGTAGTCGATTCTGAAAGTTTCAACTTTCATTTCCTTGGGTTTTGGGCCAGTGAGGTTAAGGGGAGTAGAGCACGGTCCTCGGGTCGAATCGAAGTTTCTCCAAGCACTGCTGCGGGTTAGGGTTTACGGTTCAGCAACATCTTCTTCGAGAGCTCTTGATAATAAGATCTCCCCCTCACAATCTCTACATGATTAGGTTTGAATTTACAGTAGCAACTACAGTAGCCCAAAACCTTAGTCCATGATTTTTACTCCTGAACCAGATTCCTAGACTTCACAGTGAGCCCTAAGCCCGGAATACGTGATGCACCCTAACCCTAAAGCCAAAACCGTTTTAAGCCACCTAAGCAACTCGGCCAGAACTCCCTGCTGAAGCTGAAGCCGCGTGTGGCGCAGGTTGGACGGTTTATGGTTTGGGGTTTAAGGTTTATAGGATTTAGGATAATCCCGAACTCTATCGCCCATACCCCAATCTCTCACACCCCTAAACTCTCAACCATCACACCTCGACCCGACGCCCTAATGCTCTAAACGTCACGCCCCTAGAACCCTAGTTCTCAAACCGCAAAACTCCAAATCCTAAACCCTAAACCCTAAACCCTAAACCCTAAACCCTAAACCCTAAACCCTAAACCCTAAACCCTACGACTCTGAAGTGAAGCCCGACAGTCCCAAAACCGTGCACCCCTATAAGCCCTCGACAGCAAACCCCTAAGCTTAAGCCCTTTCGCTACACCTTTTCGAAACGCTTTAGGGAGCCCTCCGTAGATCCACTCGGGCTTCCTATTAGGGTTTAGTGTTTAGAGTTCAGGGTTCAGGTAGGGTTGAGGGTTTAGGTCCCCTAAACCTTAAATACTAAACCCTAAGCCACTAAACCACTAAACCCTAAACCCTAAACCCTGTTCAAGGCTCATTCAACTTCAGGTCGCGTGACATTCGAACTTCAGGACCTACGACAACACAGATTTGGGCTTTACGGTACGTAAATAGTAAAGGGTATGGGGCTTGGGGTTCGGGGTTTGGGTGTGTTTTTGGCACTTCTTTTTAAACTTTAACTAATCCCAAAATTCTAAAGCCTATAGTGGCTCCGGTTTTGGGACGCTCGCGTTCAGGACGTCGAATTATGCAGGCGTTGAGGACTTAAGGTCAGGGTTCTGGGATTTAGGATCGGGACTTGGAGTTATCGGCTTTAGACTCAGGGAATAGCTCAATGTAGCCCCTGATTGACAAATGCCCTGGCCTTGAAAGGCGTTATGATAGGGAGTTGAATATTCAGGTTCTCAAAGGAAGGGGCTAATTCGTAAGGAAGTTTGAGCAAGTTGGAGTGTGTCGAAGAGCAAAGCTGCAAAGCAGTCTAAACCCTAAACCCTGCTAAACCAGAAACCCTCATCCCTAAACCCTAAACCTAAACTAAGCCTAAGTCTCTCACCCGGTGCCTCAGCGTGTGCAGAAGTGTACTGAACACGGAGCGACGCTAAGCCTAACTCTTATGTGGGTAGTTCAATCTTGGGGGTCCAAAGAGGAATCCGAATTTTGAGAACTACCCATGTAGAGTCCACAGCAACATGGCAATATGACCCTTCTGTCTTATGTCAGACATGTGACGGTATTGGCGACAATGATGATAATGACGGTTATGATCAGTCTGGTCATCGGTGTGTTTCCACTGGTGTGGAGTTATCGTGTTCACCTCCTTCCGTTGTGCATATATGCAGCTCCTGCAAAATCCGATGTGCTGTTGATGATATAAATCCGGCATTGCCTCAAGGACCCTCAACTATGAAAATTATGGTTTATTCCTTTTTATGGGTAATGCAGGATTTATATCATCAACCGTATCCCTATACAATACAGAAAACCACTTTCGGATCCTGTCCCACCCCATAAACCCATTGGTTATCCCAATCCCTAAACACTTAGGGTTCCCCCCAAACCCCTAACCTTAAACCCCTACACCCCTAAACCCCTAAACCCCTAAACCCTAAAGCCTATACCCTAAACCCAAGCCCCAAAACCCAACCCTGAAGCCCGAAACCCTAATGCGAGGGTTCTCGAGAAGTTCTTCAAGGAATCCTTAAGGCTCTCCAAGGGTTTGATGTGGTTTAAGTGATAGGCATATAGGGTATATAGGGTTTAGGGTTTAGGGTTTAGGGTTTAGGGTTTAGGGGTTGGGGTTTAGGGTTTAGGGGTTTAGGGGTTTAGGGTTCAAGCTCGCGCAAATCTAGGACATTTTCAGGTGGGTAGTTACCGTTATAGGAGCCTTATAGAATGTCTATATACCTTCTGGAAGCCTTATAGAAGCCCTATATACCTTAAACTCCCCACCTATACTTTCCTTTAACATTAAGGCCCCCATCTTATAGAACCCTTATAGTATCCCTTATAGAACCCTTTAAGGAACCCTTCAAAGGAACCCCAAGAAAGCATTGTTCTAATTATGATGGCCCCTATATTCCATTACTCCCTGCCCAGCCCTAAACCCCTAAACCGCTAAACCGCTAAACCCTAAACCGCTAAACCCTAAACCTGCTAAACCCTAAACCCTAAACCCTAAACCCTATATACCCTAAACCCTCAACCCTAAACCCTAAACTCCCCGCCTGTAGCTTCCTTTAAACCAGGTCCAGCAGGCGACGGTAGATCTGAAAAAGAAGATCGCGCAGGCGGCTTGGGGTTCGGGGTTTAGGGTTTAGGGTTTAGGGTTTAGGGTTTAGCGTTTCGGGGTTTAGGGTTTAGGGTTTAAGGGTTTAGGGTTTAGGGGTTTAGGGGTTTAGGGGCTCAGGGGTTGAGGGTTTAGGGTTTAGGGTTTAGAGTTATAAAGCCGGGGTTAAGGGCCCCTTGAGGATAACATGAGCCTTGGAAGGTTCTGGCCTAGACCCTAAACCCTAAACCGTTATGGCTCATCTCCCGCATATTTTTTTGCAGCATGAGATTTGGGTTGGGGCCTCATACACTTCAGGTGACATGGAATCCTTAAGGGTTTAGGGTTTAGGGTTTAGGGCTGACTCCGTGCCCTAAGCTATGTTTAAACCCTAAACCCTAAACCCTAAACCCTAAACCCTAAACCCTAAACCCTAAACCCTCAAGCCTAAACCCGAAAGCTCAAAGTCTAAACCCTAAACATAGCAGCAGCAGCCTTTCTTCCTCCTGTTTCCCAAACTTTGAGTGGGTCGGAGGTAAAATCCTCGTGGCGAAACGCTGCACTCCTAAACCCTAAACCCTAAACCCTAAACCCTAAACCCTAAACCCTACCATCAGCTCTCATCCTGCACCTTGATCCGTAAACTTGATTTAGGGTTTAGGGTTTAGGGTTTAGGGTTTAGGGTTTAGGTTTAGGGTTTAGGGTTTAGGGTTTAGGGTTTAGGGTTTAGGGTTTATTCGATCCCTCAATAATGGTTCAACTTTTAGCCGTCATTCTGAAGATTTCCCTAAACCCCACACCCCAAACCCCAAAGTTCCTCAGTAGTACCGTCTTTTGCACTGTTTACTGTATGGGTCCGTGTTTAAAAATGAATTACAGGAAAAAGGGTACCTTTATAATCAATTATTCAGGGGTCTCTTAGGAACTTAAACCCTAAACCCTAGACCCTAAACCCTAAAGCCCCAAAAGCAATACATGCGTGAGCCATCAGGCCGAGAAGAAGTTGACGGCCGCTGTGGAAGAAGAGAAAAAGCGGAGGCCGTCAGTCTCTGGTTTTACTTTTTTTTCAGCGGTTTAGGCATAATCTAAAGTTTTGGAGCTTAAGAGTTTAGGCGTTTAGCGCTTTGGGGCTGGGGTCTTGTAGGGTTCAGGGTTGAAAAGGCTAAACCCCTACACCCTAAAGGGCTAAGGGTTTTGAGAGCTAGGTGTTTGAGGAGTTGAGGCTTCGTGATCTAGGAATGAGTCATGAATTGTCCCGGGCTCGTTTCAAGGAAGACAGATGCATCACAACTTTATTAGTACCCTGTAAATACAACGCCTTCATCATTATGCGGAGAACAGGAGAAACCTCATCCTCGTCCTCGTCGTCGTCGTCGCTTCAACATCTTGCACTGCGGCCGAAGGATACCCTTCGATGATCGGAAGAAGACGGAGAACACAACGTATCCGACCTAAACGACGATGACGGCGACGGCGACGGCAACGGCGGCGGCGACGGTGACAGGGATGGCGATGGGAACAGCGACGATGATGACGACGACAGGCGAGGATGGGCAACGCCACCGACGACGACTGATGCTGACAGCGAAGGGTGACGGCTAGGGCATTGGTGATGGCGATGGCGATGGGTTCAAAGGTGCAGATGCTGATTTTGTTGTTGCTGATGAGTTTGATAACGATGATGAAAGTAAGATTGTGTTGGTTTATCTTGTGGATGTTGGGCTTGATGATGCTGGCGACAATGCGCTTCAAAGTCGTATGAGCAATGGTCAAAACTTTGTTGTAATATGTACCCTTAACCCAAAACCCGAAACCAGTACATCTGCGTTCAAAAATAAGCAGCCTTGTAAAGCAACAGTACACCCAGAGAAGCGATGCCTCTGAATCTTAGATAGGATTGTGAGAGGCCGTGTTAAAGATTTAGATCTAAGACTCATTACACCCTATGTGATACATACACACGCACCCGCACATATATATATATATATATATAATATGCACACATTTTACTCATGTAGTTTTATTTTTGGACTGACTTGTACGAAAACCCCAAAACCCTAAACCCTAAATACTAAACCCCTAAATCCTGAACCCTAAAACCCCTAAACCCTAAACCCTAAACCCTAAACCCTAAACCCTAAACCCTAAACCCTAAACCCCTAAATCCTGAACCCTTAATGGAAGGGCGAGAGCCTGTCTGAGTCCAGGCTGGAAGCAGCGGACAAGCGAGCTGCCGCAGCGCTCGTGGAGGACTTTCCGTTAGGGTTTAGGGTTTAGGGTTTAGGGTTTAGGGTTTAAGGTTTAGGGTTTAGGGTTTCGGGTTTAGGGTTTAGGGTTTAGGGTTTAAGCGACGAACGTTCGTTTTTCGGGGCTCAGGGCTGCATGGGGTTTCGTCCCTGAGTCCTGCACCCCAAACTGAACCCCTAAACCCTAAACCCCTAGCCCCCAAACCCCTAAACCCTAAACCCTAAACCCCTTGGCCCTAAACCCAAACCCCCGAAACCCCTAAACCCTAAACCCACACCCTAAAGGGTTCCCGTAGAGGGACCATTATAAGGTTGTCTGTACTCGAAGCTTTAGGGTTTCAGCTTCCGGCTTCAGCATTGAGGGTTCAGTAGGTTAGGAGCGCAGGCTTTAGGGTTTAGGGTTTAGGGTTTGAAGTTGGGGTTTAGGGATGTAAATCAGGGCTCAGGGTTTGAGATTTAGGATTTCGGGCTTCCAAAGAACATTACGACTCCTCCAGGTTCCCACGTAGTGCACTGAAGCCCTAAACCCTAAACCATACAGGCCTAAACCCTAAATCCAAGCTTCGGTACTCCTAGGAATGTGAACCTAGATTGAAAACTGTCCCAAACCTCAGTGCCTACATGAGTACTTTTTTAAATTAGGGTCCCTCTTTAGGTCCCCCAAGGGATCCGAAAAGGGACCCGAAATTTAGAGAACTACCCATATGCTTGTTCCCATGAGTTTTTGGGAGTTCGGGTTGAGGGCTTACTCTTCCTGGCATCTGCTTGGTTGGCTTCGGTTGTCCCGGTGTAGGGTGTGGGGTTTAGGGCCCTAAACCCTAAACCCTAAACCCTAAACCCTAAACCCCCGTCTCGTCGCAGAGGACGTTGCCAAGCTGCTTGAGGCGGATGAGGAGGCTCTGGAGCGGCTGTGCGCAGGGTTTGGGGGTTTAGGGTTTAGGGTTTAGGGTTTAGGGTTTAGGGTTTAGGGTTCAGGGTTTAGGGTTTAGGGCTGAGGGTTTATCATCATGTTGAAATGCTAGGCCTAAACAGGAAACCCTAAACCCGAA